GCATAGCCTTGTCACCCAGTTGGATTCGAACCCACGACCTTGCGACTGTGACCCGGGAGTACTAACCACTGCACTATCAACCCACGGGTCTAGGGATCGTTTTTAAAGGTTCATTATAATAAGCTTCGATTTTATAGACAAATCTGCAAATTAACAATTCGATAGAAGCTATAGATGTTTGACACAACTGATGAAGCCTGACGAAACCTTGACGCAACCTGACGAAACCATAGTTGCGTCACTGACGCATGACGCAACTCAACTATATATGTAGGGATGCGATTATACCGATATAATAGAAAATGGTAGTATAATACCAGATATAATACTTAATAGTTATCAGGTAGAATATAGGTAACATTGTGTCAGCGTCATTTAGTGACCATTTGTTAGCTCAGGTCATGCCGCGAAGCGGCATGATCGGAGTTAATCAAATGGCCACTAAATGATGCTGATGTCGTGACTAAAGTTGGGATCCGACTAAAGTTGGAACTTCAGTTGACTGAAGCTGCACCTGACTGAAATTAGCCCCTGAAATTAGATCATCCTGCGCGCATTAGTTAGCTGTTTTAGGCAGGTGCCAACTTCAGTCAACTGAAGTTCCAACTTTAGTCGGATCCCAACTTCAGTCACGACACTGACACAATGTTACCTACATTCTACCTGATAACGATATTATCCGGGAGTGGTCATTGATCATGTTACTCAGATTAATTATGTAAATTATTGTTATTTCATATAAAGATTAGTTTATTGATTATGTGGTTTTTTGGGGTTTTTTCTTTTCTTATTCTTTCCCCCTTTCTTTCGTTTTTTTTTTTTTTTTACTCGGAGACTTTTTGACATGGATTAAAACAATCGTTAAGATAAGCATTAAAAAAAACAAAAAAAAGATATATAAACAAAAAAGAAAATATTAAGATTCCGAATCAGTCCGAACTTGGAATAGACGTTGATATACTGTGATATAGCATTAATATGGGTAACATGATCAATAGTAACTACCGGATAATGTATAATATGGTATAACTAGTGATACGAATCGAAACAAATATTGTAATCGATTAGTTGGTTGAAAATTTTTTAAAAATCGATTACAAATCGATTATTGCTAACTAATCGATTAATCAATTAATCGATTAGTTGATTTATCGATTAATCGATTAGTTGTTTAGTTGATTTAATTTAATAATAATACTGAATATAAATCTAATAAAAATTTTATTAAAGAACTAATTAAAATAAAACCAACTAACCGATTAATCTATAAATACCTGATCTTGAAAGCTAATTGATGCACAGGATTTTTGGAGATGTTGGGGTAGTTTCAAATATCATTAATAGAAGCTATAAAAGATTGTAGTTTTTTTTTTTTAAGAGTGGCATCTTTTGTCTAGGTCTTTTATTATATATATTATAATTACAAATTATATAATAACTATAGTACAACTTAGTAAGACTTCAGCTTAGGACTATTTTATCCACAAATGCATATCCCTACCTGATCTATCTAATCTATTTTTAGTATATATTAGGATTTTCTATACTATATGTTATGTTTAATATATTCTTTATATATTATATAAACTACCAGATTGGTAAGATTTTTTTGCCATTGTATCTAAGTACTCCTAATTTGGTGTATACACTTATCTATACATAGGATCCTACTCAGATGAATCTTCAGATCACTCTTCTAATTATCCTGCTGATCTTCATACCCTTTTAGTATAGACTTATCATTTAAGTATATATATAGTATATCTATTTATATACTTTCTAAATTGGTATAAACCTAAATATAGATGTAATTCTAACCAGTAGAGCTGCTTCCAATCAAGTTTTGCATAACTATGTTACTTCAAACTTATGGTTATATTGGTTGGTGTTTTAGAATTGGTGTATTTGTATTAGTCTTATATTTTATCAAAGATTTCTAATTGAGTACAACTTATATCAGCGATATGCAAGTCTTTTACATATATACAGATATTCTGTAGCACATCTCTATACTAACTACTTCATACAGTATTACAGTCAGAGAATATACCAAATTTGGATAATATAGATCACTCTTTTTATGGTATAAAAATATTGATCAGAATATTCTAGATTATAAGGTTATACAAAGCAATTACATATAGTCAATAAAATCTTGACTTTGAATGCAAAAACAAATCAATCCAAAGGTTCAAAATAATGCTTAGATTTTGCAATATGGGTAAGTACCCTAGAAGCAACTTTTTACTATTCTAGTAATTAAAATAGTGCACAGATATTATGATGTAATTTTAGCCATTCTCAAATTTTTAGATAAAAATTAATAGCGAATAATAGATGTTTCTGAATTAATGATTCGATATCTGGTTTTAAGTAAATAAGTAATATTTATTTCAAAAGAAATAATATATAAATTCTATTTTTTAAGTATATATTTTGTTTACATAATTACTCACTAGTAGATATTTATCAAAAGCTAATTTTATTTTTTGATCCAAAATTCTAAAACAAAAAATTAGATTTTTAAACTTTACTTATTTTTAAAATAAGTTAATTCTGTAACTCCAGTACTGCAGTAACGAATAGTAATATTTATAAGATATTGGTCATGCAATAATTAATATTATCGCATAATCCAATATCAATATTATCATGTAATTATAATTATTATTTATGAGTTGTATTTGGCTAACTAAGTTTTAATTTGGGATTATTGTACTTATGTAATAAAGTAAAAAAAATAACAAAAAAAAATCTATGATCATAAAAGCTTGTATGATAATATTAATATATTACTCAGAAATATTATTGTTCACAAAAAAAAATATGATGTTAATGATATAGTAGTGTGGCACTAATATAGATCTATAACAAAAGGCTTAAACAATAATGCTACTTACTTTAATAAAGTTTGATAAGCCAGCAAAGAAAAAATAAATGGCTTGAAATAAAAAGTTTTTAACCAGAATAATAAAACCTAATGCTATGATCACAAAATTTAAGAACAATTGTCAATAATAAGAATCTATAATATGTGTAGCTTATTTTAAAAACCTAGTTAATAAATAATCATTTTACTCACAAACTAAGTAAATATAAGTAAAACAAGATTAGAGTATACTGTATATTGGTAAATAGCCATAAACTAACATTCCTAAGGAGCTTGCCAATTAATAAATAATCTTTATACTTTGATCTATAAGAATAAAATAAGATTAAAAATATCTTACATATTGATAAAGGCCTGATATTGAGTATTTGCAAAGTCTTTTAATCTGTAATAACTGTCTAGTTAGCAATATTTAAAAAAAATTCTTGAGCTTTTATATATTGGTCTTAAAATCTTGCAATTTTTTGAGTCTTATTTCTTTCTCAACAAAAGTTAATTGACATGAATTATTGTGGATTATTTAAACTACATATCATTCTCTATCTACTTATACTTTTATTCATAAAGTTTTAATAATAAATGAATGTGATAAAAAATTTCTAAGAAAAGCTAGCAAAAATGTATACAAGAGCCAATCAAATTCAAGATCTGACATATAGATTGTTCTAAAACCTAATTTCCTAATTTGGTATATTCCCTGACTACATTAGTATAAATTGCCAGAGGTGTTTCTTATTTGGTTAGACTAATTCTTTACCACAGATCCTTTTATGTTTGCCACTTTTCTCACCATTTCAGTTAGTACAACAGTTGTGTTACCCTCCCAAATCAAGATCTCAAGACCACCTTAGGGTTGTTGGTGCTATCTTGCCACTTGCAGGATTTATTCACACAACCTTCCTGTCGTCAAACTTTCTGTGATGCCACTATCACACATAGTACCCTTCTTCTCATAATGGATCTCCTTCCAGAAATTTCTAAACCAAATTTGTACTTCACTTGAACTTCCACAGGATTTTGCATTTAAATACTCTAGAAACTGCTTCTAGTAGGACTTGAACCAAAGACCTTGGCTGTGGGGTAGGTGCTTAGACCACTAAGCTATAGGGCCCTAACCCAAAAAATTGTAGTTTTAAAATACACTCGTGATTTAAATAATGAAAAGAATAAGTCTGCCAAATACAGCCCACTTTTCTTATAGTGAACTCTTGAAGTAATGAAGATTTTACGGAATTATTAAATTTCAACCAGATGTAAAGTATGTTTAGTATTCTCTCAATATAAGTTACAGTGAATATTTTTTCCAAGCCTGAGGGCGTTACTATAATGTGAGTAAAGTTGCAGTCGTCTGTTTATCATGTTTTCTTATATTTCTAAATATGAGGTCACCTTTATTTTGTGTCGAAATATGAGTTAAAAACGAATAGAAATGATGTTATGGATTTTTAAGAAAACATAAGAATTTTCTATAACAAACTTAGCCTTCGCTTCCAGAACCGTCAGTTCGTTATAGAAAGGGCTGACTGTAATATAAAGATCATGGTTGTTTGATTTAAATGGATAAAATATTCTTAACATAATCATCATGATCACAATTACAGTTCGAAACAATATTATTGTTTTTATTATTTCACTTATTAACTACACATTCCTGCAGAAATGTAAGAGCAAAATGAAAAGGCAGATAAAAAAAATTATTCAAAAGAGCAATAAAATAATTTATTTGAACGATATGCCTACATTTGCAATAATTTTATATACTAAATAAGATATAAAAATTTGGCAATAACTATACTGTATATGCAAAAAAAGACAATAACCCTATATTGCACATACAGATGAAAAAATATTACAGTAAAACCTCCATAAGTGTACGCTCTTAGGACCAAACTTAACAACGTTACATCTAGAGAATTATGAGAGAGTGCAATTATGAAGGTTATATATATATATATGGGCACTTATAGAAGGTGCACTTATGGAGGTGTCACTATAATATTATTTTGTACTATATAAATCATTACCATTAAATATATTAATTTATAAATTCCAAAGTTTTTCATGATACAGTTTTCTGCATTTCCATGCTCAATACAGCGATTTACATGTATTACAATAGGACTGAAGTGCATCCAATTCCTACTGCCCTACAAACTGCACAATACAAGCACTCTCCATCAGCTCTGACATACGCACCACTCTTTAAGCAATGTGAAAGAAATAGATGCGCAACTCCGTCTCCATAAGTTTCATGCACCATAATGGTTAGTCGAGGGGCAGGTGGCAAGTTTAAAGGATCGATCTTTCTAAAAATTACTTTTACTTTACCCACACGACCTCCTCTTTTGAGTTTCTTAAGTTGATCGGGGTTTGTACACGGACAAGCGGTACCTGTAATGCCACCACACATCATGTCAGCGACTTGAAGAGATCCGATCTAATATTCATATAAATGGACTTTAGTCACGTAATGCATATTTTCCCATTTATTCAGTATGTAAAGTATATTACTCGTTTAACTTTGGCCAACGGCACTCCTGCGACTCTCTTAATACTTAATGTTACTTTGAGTTGATTAGTGCATCGTAGCTGGTTGCCATGAATGTCCATTGCAGTATCCTTTTGATTTTATTGTGCGTCTTCTTAATGCTTCTGCCCATCCGCTCATACACCAAATTTCCTCTCCTTCATTTAGCTGATTTCTTATCACTACCTTGGCAACAATTGAATTTAATACTACTTTGCCACCTGTATATTTTCCAATAACTTCTCGTGATCCTTTGAATCCTCCTGCTTTTATCATAAAATTTTTGTGCACATTTTCTGAGCTTCCTCGAATTCCTAAACCGATATTATATACTTCTGATGAATGTCGCCCACGCATTCCAGCCACAATAGCGCGTCCAGTCGTCTCGAATATATATGATTTTGATAGACCCTCTATTATGTCCAACAGACCAATCTCGGGTATTCCACACATCTGTGCAAGACCTATAATGCGAGTTGCAATCATTAGTGCATGAAGATTGGCATCTAGTGCAGCTTCTGCGTTGAGTAAGTATCCCATTGATTGATTCAATGGTTGTTTGGCATCACTGGAACGTGAGGCGTACCTATTCATAATAAATGAACAGTTAAAATAAACGACATCATAAGCAAGCTTAAAGAAACAAAACACCTACCAACTATTCAATACATCACTTAACGCACTCTTTGCAAAGTCTGCAGTGTTTGACCATGCATCTCCAACTCTCTTATCCCACGACAGGTATTTTTTACTCAACCAGATTTGAACGCGTGTTCTTGTTACTATGGTAATTTCTTCTACACTAAAATTGTTCATCTGCATAAATGCCCGTATATCTAGATAAGCCATCAAACCGATTTGTTCATCCAATGCCTTGTCGGTAAGTTGAAAACCGTCGTCTCCAATAACTGATAAGTAACCCTGATTCGCGAGTTTTTTAAAATGAGCTTTGAGAATACGTTCACAAGTTTTCTTGGACTTATTATCTATGTACATCTTTACGCCTTTTCGGATTAGACTACCTGGATTAATGCCCACCGTAACATTAAAGTTACCTGGATTAAGAATGTCCACCGCAGCATTAATGTTGGCCATCGAATATCAGAGAGATTGCTTATGATTTATAAAGGAGTGAAAAATTATTTCTAAACACTAGACATTTAATGTTGTAAGGGAGTGAGCAGTTATTTCTACGTACGCACTAAGTGTTCGTAACAAGATGTTAAATGCTGTATTTTTTTTTCTTTTCATTATTAGAAAAATACAAATTAATCAATCATAAAATAGGCGACTGCTCAATGAACGAATGGATTTGAACATTTGCATAACAAATATGTCTATGAACATAAGGCGTCCACAAAATATAAATGATTTACGTATTTGTAATCTCATTTTACGTAATGGCGATAGCTTCGGTAGTTTTGGTGGCTTTGTTTTTCTATTTAAGCACAGAACTGACATTTCACTAATATTTATTCTGAAAGACTAGTAGGCGTTTGTGCCTCCGATAATAATGTCTGACGAATCTACTTGTTAGATGAGACTAGGGTTATTAAATGGAGCGGGTTGGGTTGAGTTTAACCCGACCCGAGTCAATTGTTTTATTGCTCCATATTTCCCGGAGCACTCATAAAAGTCACATATGAGTGCGGGAGAGGGAAAAGGGCGCACTCGTTTTTTTTAGTAAGTTATTGATTATTTATCCGATTCAGCATTTCTGATTTACAGCATTTCGGGCATTAAATATATCCGATATCGATAATATCGATATTGGATATATTTACAGCTGTTTTCATAATTCCTGGGCCACTCTAAAAAAATTTGCCGAAGTCTATTCGGCCGAAGCCGATAAGTAATTGATTTCGGTATGATCTGTAGTGATCAGTATGCAGTATATAAAAAGAATTTTAAGAATTTTTGTGTTACTGTTACAGTACATTCGCAATGTCAATTCCAATGCCTTTATTAAGTTTTCGTCTTAATGCTTGTCCAACATGTATGACATGCTTAGTTTGTACAAAAATTTATGGCAAAGACTGCTCTTGCCAATCAATAGAACTCCACTGGAAGTGTAAAAAAAGTTCTGACCATAAGTTGGACTTTCTTTCTAAACATATTACACAAAGAGACGCTAACCAAAAAAGAGTTAAATACGATCGAGAATTTGTCAACTGGTTCGAAAACAATGTAACACAATTTGAAACAAAAGACCAAGATTTTATTAATATTTGCCGATGATGTCTTAATAATTATGATAAATTTCAAAGTAAGGTTTTTATATATTTCTAATTTTTCTTTTAAAAAAAATTATATTTAATATTTTTAACTTTTTATAGGTCAAAAAGAAAACCAGCATAAATCAGATGAAAACATTGAAACAATCGATTTAACAAACAAAGAACCATCATATTCGTCAAGCATAGAACCATTGCATTCATCCATAACAAATACTTTGAACTTACCTGATTTATTTGAAATAATAAATTATAACATTACAGAATCAAAAATGGCAAATCATAATGTTATTGAATCGGAAATGTCTATAGTAAAGGAGCCTGTTGTTAGTAAGTATAATCTGTGTTATTTGTATATAATTAATCTATTTTTGACTTGTGATTATTTTAATTCTAGCATTTGTTATATTGGTATGTTATGACTGGTTTGAGAAACCTCATAAGAAATTGGATGGTGCGCTGGCAATTCCATATGTCCTTGACAATATAAAAGACTTTGGAAATGTAGAGAAGGAAATTTTATCACGTACTCTTCCTAAACAATAGGGGAAAATTGAACTTGGTCACATTTGTTATCAGCTTTCTAATACATCTAAAGCTGATCAGTATGATTTAAAAGCGGATAGAGCTATTATTGCATTTGTTACTAAAGCAAAAAATAAAAAAAATATTCAATTATGTGTTTATCAGGAACATAAAGATGATAGAGCTAATAAGAGAATTCGTGTAAGTTATTAATAAATTACATTTTAATTTATATTATTAATTAATTAATAATTTATTTATTTATTTATTTATTATAGACACTTGAAACTGAATCGAATGTTGTTAATAAATTAAATATTATTAAAGAAAAAATTTACAAAAATCTTCTATCATGTGAAATACATATTTAAGGATGTTTGATCTCTGAAGATGGTCAACATTTAAAGTTAGATAGTGATATGGTTATGATGTGAACTCGTGCTATTGTAAATATTAAATTATTTGCAATTCTATTCTTGTATATTTTTATATTGTAAATATATTTTATTAATTTTTTTAAATAAAGCTTAATGAAATGCAAGATGTTGATGAAAAAAATCTACCAAGTATTTTATCATTTGACAAAACTAAATATCGATATCCAATATCTAGACGAACTTCAAATAATGATTCATCAAGTATAAATATATTTATATATTATAATATTAAATATTTTTATTTTATTGATCAATATTAAATTTATTTTTTATATTAATAGTTGATTTTAATTCTACTTCTACAATTGATTCAATTGATTCTACTTTAATATCTGAA